AGAAGGCATTATTCAGTGCATCTTGAAAACATTAATCAGTCTCTTGCAGAACTTGGTACTGAAGATTCAGCTGAAAGGCTGTCTAGACGAGTCTAATTTTTAAGACAGGGAAAGCATTAAAAAACACCTTGCTCCAGGAGGTAGGAGAAGGTTAAGGATTTCCAGGGACAGTAGTGATTTACAAATGGGCTTCTCTAGCACCAGAGAGAGGGAAGGGAGGAGAAAATGGAGATGTTTTAGTGACATCAAAGGCACCTGTGAGACAGGATGCTGTGTCGATGATGACCAGAAAGCTGCTTGATGTAAATGTCTGAAATGATGGAGAAGCCCGTGGTGAGAACCATCCTGGAGCCAAATGACCTCATGTGGCTTCATTCTGTGTCTCTTTAGTCTCTGCTTGTTCTCAGTTCCAGGGAGACAACCAAAGCTGACAACCAAGTCTTTCAGCTACAAATCTACTCCACAGCTCAAAGAAAGCTCAAAGTATAAATCTGTGTGTTTGGATGTCTCTAAAAATAACATGTTTTGTTGGGAGGCTATTTCTAATTATTAAAAAAAAAAGCTAACTTATTAGGTTGAACTGACCTGGGTTTGAATTCTGGCTCTGTTTTACTTGTTGCATAACTCTGGGCAAATTATGTAACATCTCTGGGTCTTAATGTTCTAATTTGGGCAGTGGAGATTGTAATAATAACTACCCCATAGGGTGATTATGAAGATTAAACAGGATAGTATAAATAAAATACTCAGAACAGTGCCTAACCCGTAGTCAATGCATTTTATGATTATGATTGAAATCTTTTGTATAGATTATTTTCTGGTAAATGTAGAAAGGAGGGTACAAACGTAGAAAAAGAGAAGGGAAATGAGACACGGAAAAGGGTAGGATGTGAAAAGCTGATTCTGAGAGACAGGTACTTAGTGACTGTAAAAAAATCCTGAGAGAGAAAAAACATAAAGATGGCAGGAAATCAAAGGCAGAAGCTTAACTCTGTTTTTTTCTTTTGCCAAGGTTTCATCCATCTGGCCTTGGCTTCTACGCTGCCTTTTTCCTCCAAATGGCAACATACAAGCCTAGTAGTGAAACCCAGGGCCGGGAGAGAGAACATATCCGAATCACCCTAAACTTCAGCCCTCAGTGAAGGCATCTAAGAAATAGACATATTCTTCTTTTGCGATATAGAATTCCTTTGTGACTAATAGAAGAGACAGGCCTGCCAAGTGAGTCAGCAGTGACCACAGGCTGACATAATCCTATTGCTTTTTGGCTGACAGCTCATGCAGAGAAAAATCCTCTTGGAACAAGACAAAGGTAAATGTTGTTTAAATCCCAGCACAAAATGTGGACTCTCCATCATCAGCTGCTATTCCCAGTCTATGTTGACCCTAGACATCAGAAATAGCAGAAGCACTGCCAACACATTTCTTACTGTTTGGGTTGTAATAATTCAATCATCGCTAAAGGTGAAAATGTCTAGAGGATAGAATAACTCAGATTATTTTCAGAGTCTAAGAAAAAAAGAAACAGAACTGTGTCTTTCCTCAGATTTTCTTAAAAGCAGGTATTATCATGGAGCATCCAATATGGATGAACATATATATAGATAATGAACACAAACCTGCATAAGTGATGAGATATTAGAAAAATAAAACACATGGTTAACCACGTCACTTTTTTCCCCTTTCATGTGAAGAATGGCTGGTCTGAATCCCCTCCTATGGCATTATGAATTTTAATCAATGACAAAACCAGAGTGAAATTGCAGTTGTAAGATGGATTTTCACTATGATCTCTTCTGATGTGCCCTTATAAACACGGTAATTTAAGAAACCAAGTTGAAGCCTGGATCTGAGTAACAGAATGTAGGACACATTTAAGAGAAAGATCAAAGGGCAGTTTTCACATTATACAGAAAACTAGCTTGACCCTGAAGAACGATTGCTTTTTTAAAATTAAACGTCAGTCGAAATTATGTGCTAAGCCCATCTGTTTAGCACATGCACGTGCGCGTGTGCACACACACACACATTTTTAGGAAAGAAGAGAAATAAAATGTTTAATTCTGAGTTTTGCTAAAATGTTTCTCTGAGATGTTGCATTCTAGACCTCTGGAAAGGCTATGATTGGAACCTGTCTTTGTTTCAAACATAAGCTCAACATGGCCTGTCTGTGTAGGTGACTTCTCAGTTGCTGGAGCACGTTTGGGCAGCTGATTTCTACAAAGCACAAGGAAACGCTCTCATTTCTGATTCCGGCCTCTGTCCTGTGTATAAAACCTTCTTTTGGCCCATGCGAGGCTGGTGCCACCTTCATTCCCTTTGAGCTCTGCAGCTGAGGGCCACAGGCCTTTGCTGGGGCCGCAGGGGCCATTGACCATCCTGCCTCACTCCTGCCAGGGCCTCAGCTCACCATACTACTCATTTAACCACGAGCTTGGTGTGCAACCCCTGTGATACCCAGAGAAAATGGAGCCTTCTCATCTCAGTGGGATGGAATATTTAAACTTAGGCTCATGCTTTAAGATTTGGGACTCAATTTTGCCCTTCAGATCTGTGCATATCAATACCTGAAAGCAATTTTTCTTGAATGCATTTTACTTTGAATTTGGAATCGGCTTTTGATGGCTTTTATTTAATAAGGCAAAGGCACAGGGCTACATTCATTATTTAGGCTAGAACTTATTTTTTTACTTGATGTTTAAAAAAAAACTGGCATGCTTGTTCAGGGTAATTGCATAGAGTGAAATGAACCCAATTTATGTAAAGGATTACTGAAGGAGTACAAAACTTGCAAGGGAAGCCTGTTAAATCATTCATTCAGTGACTGATTGACATTTGCACAAATCTGTATCCTATGCTTTGCCAGGTTTTAAAGCCAAGCAAAGAAGCAATTATTGAAAAGTGATGGAAGAAAACAGTATTGAAAGAAATCCTGGAGGGTGGATCTATTTTAAGTGATTATTCTCTCTTAAATAATGTAATTCACAGACTATGGAATGGGTCCCAGAGAATCATCTCTCAGCCTGTCTTCACCTGGCAACCTTTGACATTGTATCATTGAAAGATACATGCGATGCCAATAATGCCAACCACTTCTTTTTGAATAATGATCTCTCTTAATCTTTTAAAGATTTCTATTCTATCTTATGATTAATAATTTAGCTAAGCACTAAACAGGTGCAGTGAGACTTAAAGTCTAAGTGTAGGCACTAGCTTCTTGGAAAATACTTGTTTCTCTTTGACATTTCCAGTTAAGTGTAAAACCATGTGATGCTTTAAAAAAATATATGACATGAAGACATTGTAAATCTCAATCATTTCCTCTGTTCTATATATAAAAAGTCTAAAATTTATGAAGAGGTAAATGCAAAACTTTCATCAGTTAATCATTCTCTAGACTTAATAACAGAAACATTTCAGGCAATCAAAAAAGAGGAAAAATCTTTAATTGATTTCTCAGAGAATTTTTTTCCAGATTGTAAAGAAATTGCTCTGATGTTTTCTATTTGGCTGTTTCAGGAGATATACAAATGAAATATAGGGCACAAATAAATGAAATGCTAGTAAGAAGTAGGATGATATTAATATACCCTACTTTGCCCATGTGGAACAAAGGCAGTTTATCCTATCAGGAGAATAAAAGGAAATGTGAGTAAGAGAGTCTCGCCCTTGCAGAACTACAAGCTTCATTTGCCCTGGAGAGAGCCACTGGGCAAGCCTTCTCATGATAGTGCCTGTGACAATGTTGGTGGGGCAGGAACACTTTATAGAACCCTCCCCTGCAATGAGTGTGTGGTGCTCAGGAGAAGTGCCCATTCACGACGCCCCTTCTTGCTGCGGGGTCTTCTGGGCACCCTCCCATGGATCAAAATAACAATCAGTCAAAACACACATCAGGGTTGGCTGCGACGGCTCATGCCTGTAACCCCAGCACTTTGGAGGCTAAGGAGAGAGGATTGCTTGAGCCCAGGAGTTTGAGACCAGCGTGGGCAACATGGTGAGACCTCATCTCTACAAAAGTCAAAAAATTAGCTGGGCATGGTGGCATGCACCTATAGTCCCAGCCACTTGGGAGGCTGAGGTGGAAGGACAGCCTCAGCCCAGGAGGTCTAGACTGCAGTAAGCCGTGATTTTGCCACTGCACTGGTAACAGAGCAAGACCTCAATTTGGAGAAAAAAAAAAAAAAAAAAGCCCACATCAGTACGTTTTGTCTTTTAGAAGCAGTATAGTATTTGCCACCAATGAGTGTGATCTGTGCGGAAGATTTTATTTATTTTTTAATTAATTAATTATTTCAGTTGGAGCCTCACTCTGTCCCCTAGGCTGGAGGGCAGTGGTATGCCACCCCAGCGTCAACTGGCTGGACTCAGGCAATGCTTCTGCCTCAACCTTCCAAATAGCTGGATCTACAGGTGGGAGCTATTGTGCCTGACTTATTTTTGATTTATTGTAGAGACGAGGTCATGCCACATTGCCCAGGCTGGTCTTGAACCAGTGGGCTCAGGCAATCCACTCGCCTTGGCCTCCCAAGGTTGGATTACAGGCTGAGCCACCGAGTCTGGCCTGTACAGTTTTAAAATGCAGTTTTGAAATTCTACTGTGTTGAAACCCCTTTAATTTTCTATTGGAATTCTTCTGAACTTTGCAATTATGTCATTGTGTGCTTATGATCATAAGAAATTAATTTTAAACTAAATATGTTTCAATACCCCTTTCCATATACATTTTTACCCCAATATAAAGTTTGTGATAAAAAAGTTCAAGAAAAATATGGGAAAATATAATATATTGAAGGGTGGGATGCTTTAAAATCACCAATTTACATTGTTCTTTACAGTTTTAAAGGTTTAAAAAAATTTATTGGTATTTTAAGCAGTTTCAGAATTATTCTTTCAGAATATCTATCTCTACTGGAGTGAGATCATGTTCCTCTAGTGTGAGCACACAGTAGGTGACCCATAAATGTTTATTGCAAGAAAGAATGACCATAAAGAGATACTGATGCTCCTCTTTTACCACAATAGGTAAGCAATTTATAAGTAGTGTTATTTTTGTCCACGATATTTATGTAACAAAACAAAGTTCAGCATAAGAATTGATTTAAAAGTAATACTATAAGAATGGGACATTTTGAAGGTAGAAATATAAAGGGTTAAAAGAGGAATCTAGGGTCATGAATTTCTAGAAATTAGCATGCTTGACCAAAAAAAGTGGTCATGAATACTTATGAGTGAATTTCAGATAAAAGGAAACGTTCAACAAAAGCTACGCATGTTTAAGTTAACATAAAGAAAACACAATTATTTGTAAAGGCAACCTTATACATTAAGATAAATGATAACTTTCCTTAAACTTGCATTCTCAATACTGTCTGTGCAAAACTGCCTGTAGTGTCCTTCAGTGGGTGTCGGAAGCCAGATGCATAGGAAACATCCCCTTCAGCGGTGTACATTAAAGCAATGTGGCCTGCAGTTTCCTTTAAAAGATAGAGTCTGGCCAGGTCATGGTTGTGCTTTCAAACAACTGGTCTGGATGTGTGAGACCTGCAGAACGGGCAGCAGCAGCTGGAAGGCATCGTGTACGTACGTGGTGCTATTGCAGCCCTATGGGAAGAGAAAAAATGAGGATGAAGAGTGATTTCCACAGTTCAATCTTGACAGTTCTTCCAATTTGATGATGTCTCCTCTCTGATACTCCCCAATAGTAGATTAAATTTTTCTTGTAATGTTGGTAATTAAAGCAAGTGTAAACACATTCTTTTCGATGGAATATGTCCAGCTTTTAATTATCTATGCTAATAGAAAGAAGAATGCATTCAAAGTGAGGCAAATCATTTCCATGGACTTTAAGGGTACATCAGTGTGTGCTTATATGTGACCCAATATGTCAGTCTTATCTATCCCTTTTCCAGATCAACTCTCCTATCCTGTAATAGCACAAAAGTATAGTATGAAGGAACTTGGTTGTCCTAACATATAGTTAAAGAAACAAGAACAGTCTACATAAGATTAACTGGAGGTATTTGTGGGAATTATTTGTAGCAGATTCTCCTGTGCATGGTTACATCTGCTTGGTTTGGACATCTGCTAGTACTATTTATGTTCTGTGGTGCACCAACAAACAGTATTGGACGGAGAGGACATTTAAAGATTAGGGTAACCAAACCACATGAAAACTTCCACTGACAATATGAAACAAACAAACTTGATCTCATATTCCTCAGACTGACATGATAAATTAATCTGCTAATGCCTTTTGGATGGCCAGGGGAGAGATTTTCTTAGGCTATATTCTGACTCTGACTGTCAGGATTTCCTCTGGGCTGTGTTTGTCACTCCAGGACGTGCCCCTACAGCTCCTGTCCTTCTGGCCAATTCCATCCCTCTGTGGAGCTGCATCCTCAACAGTAATACTCAGTGCCACCATTTTGTTATTTTTGGACCTTAGTAGTTTTCCTAAATAGCAGGGCACAATTCCCAAGAACACTGCTATGAATTTATAGGTAGCTCTCTTGAAGTTTCAGAGATTTCAAATTTTGTAGTTGACAGCTACTTCAGAAAACAAGAAAACTGTATACGAGGAAGGACTGAAAAAAACCACAGAATTTACAAAAACTTGTGGTTAGGTGCAGTGGTTTATGTCTGTAATCCCAGCACTTTGGGAAGTAGAGGCAAGAGGATTGCCTGAGCCCAGGGGTTTAAGACCAGCCTGGTCAACTTAGCGAGAACTCATCTCTACAATAAATCAAGAAAAATTAGCCAGGCGTGGTGGCACATGCCTGTAGTTCCAGCTATTGGAAGGCTGAGGTGGAAGGATCGTTTGAGCCCAGCAGGTTGAGGCTGTGGTGACTGTGAGTGTGTCACTGCACTCCAGCCTGGGTGACAGTGAGACTCTGACTCAAAAAAAAAAATGTGGACTTATTCTTACATGTCTAAACTTCAGTCACCATCAAAGTACTCTCTGATGCAAGACACGTATCAAGATGCCTTTTCTACTGTTCAAAACAGTTTTTGAACTCATCCATGTTGATGCCTTTTAGTGCTTCTCCTGTTTTTTTGTTTCTTCCACATTAGAAAAATGTTTCCCTTTGAGGACTTTTTTTTTCGTCGGGGAAACAACAAAAAAATTGCTTGGGGTGAGATTGGGTGAATAGGGAGGGTAGGGCACAAGGGTCATCCCATTTTTGGTAAAAACAAACAAACAAAAAAACTGCTTAACACTTGTTGGGAGCCGGCCTTGGAGGTCCACCTGATTGACAGGGTCCTGGTGGGCCGAAGATCCCGGGCCGCAGGCCGAGCCCGGGAAGCTGAGGCCCTTCTGTCTTCCACCTTTGCTGTTTGGTACAGCTGAAGAAATTCTGTGCAGTCGTGAAAGAAGAAAATGGCATGTTTATGCGAAGTACTCACACCTAACCTGAGGAATGTCATGG